CATAAACGAATCTTCCATATAAATTAAAATAAAAAATAAGGAATGTCAGTTGTGGAAGAATTCAATGGCAGAATAAATCAAATAATAAAATAATGGGTACGTAGAGGCAAAAATGGGCCGCCCACATTTGAGAAAAAAATAGAGACAGAAAATCTTGAAAAATCATCTTCTCAAGAACAGCAAACCATTATTGGTATTATTTATATGGAAGCATTTTAAGATAGTGTAGAATCAAGTTTGTTCAAAGCATTGGATCCGGAAGTAAGGATTAAAGGGTCACAATGGAAGCTTTTTGAGAATAGGAAAAAATCTTTTAAAATCTTATTCATGTGAAAACTCGTAAAATCGGCTGGTAAAGAACAGCAAAGATATTATTTATCATATTTACTTGGATGCATTCTAAGTTGTGTAGATTCGAGTTTGTTTAAAACCTGACTCCTTGAGGTAGGTAAGGGGCCTCAATAGGTAATCAAAGTTTTACACAGAATTTGTGCTTACAATCTTAATTCACATGACTCATTGGAGTTAGTAGAGACCGCACTTAGCAAATTAAAAATATGCATAGAAATATATAAGGATTTAGATTCTTCTGAGTACACTGTAAAGAATAGATAAGCCAAGATAAGTCATTTTGATTAAGAGGCATTCTCGGGTTTATAGATTCAAGTATGCTGAAAATCACCCCCTCATTCTAAATTTCTATTGAATACTGATCTGATTTGTTTCTATCTAAAGACGTGCTAGGACGAGGGATATGCACTTCTCGTTTTGAGATTGAAAAAAAATTATATTGCATTTTATTATTTATTGAAATTCAATTAATGTATTTCTCAAAACACATTAAATGTGAAGGTGTTAAAAGCATTTAGAAGTTTCGTTATAACAATCGCGCAATAAAAGATTGAGGGACAAAATGAAAACTTTATATCTTTCTATATTCAATAATTCAATAATTCCAGAAGTGAAACTAGAGGAATGAGTTCACTAAATACTACCCCGCCTCCTATATGGTTATAATGGCAAAGTCCGTAATTTGCTCTGGATTTGCCAAAATAAGTGTCAGATCACAACGTCATTGGGAGGTGCACACTGGAATTATGTTATAGAGAATCTATGAAAATAATGAAACTATCATTAAATCTTATTAAGTGGTATAGGAGAAATTATTGATTATTGATTAGAGATGGGTACCCTTCAATATTATAGAAAGAATGACAGGGTATAGTAACTACTCCTTGGCACCTTATCCCACCTAATCCCACCTCTGATGATTGGAGGTATGTGTTTGCTCCTCTCCAATTTTGTATTGTTTTATGTATTCTTGAGCTCAAATACTATTAATTAGTGTTATCTCCTTATATTTCATTAAATGCGGTTTATTGTAATAATCTCATATTCTATAACAATGATAAAAAATTTTGAAATATTATGTTAATCTACAAGAGATCTTTTACAGTAAAAATAAATGTGCATGTATAGAACGGAGAACACACACAAAATAAAATTCCCCTAGTAGACAGTTTGATACAAACAATAATAGTCAAAAAAACTATTTTTATTGAGGATAGATTATATACTTTTATAGAAATGACCGTTAGAACATATTTTTTAGCAATATTTGTTAACTTCACAAGAATACATCAAAATGTTCCCTAGATTTAGTAAGATTTTTGTTTTTGTGTTCTTCTCAAATTCGAAATTGCTAAAAACTGTATTTGTATTTAGATAGACATCGAAAACGTATTGAATTAATATTATGAAAATCAGTGATTTGAGTGCAGGAATAAAGATTTACGAATGGCTAAAGCCTGCATACGCTAACCATACTTTCAAACTGTATTGCTAATTTTTGCATCAAGTTCATTCTTGCACGTTTGGACATTCAAGTAAAAATACTGAAAGACTTATTACTTAATTAATATGGAAGGAAAGACAACTCATTTACATATGTATACATGGCATAGATACAGTGTACATTGTATGAATGCCCCTAGTTTGTGAGACAGCATAAACAGCTGATAAATACCCGGTAACTACAATTAGTCAACAAATGTATGAATCATCTCAATGTTTTATTAAAATGAAAACGATACTTTTTCTTTTTCGATCTTTAAAAAAGTGCTATCTTAGTATTTATTCTGTTCTAAAATCATTTCGAGATTTTTAGGAGACCTTCTTTCAAAATTAATATGTGAAGAGTTCTACTACATCTGTCATCCTGGTTTTCTTCTTTATTTCATTTATGAATAAATTGATTTACAAATAAAGGGAAATCAAAACAATTAAACGTGAAAATGTAAATTATCTGTGAATTTTTAAAACATATCTAAAATTTGCTTTTTTAATTAATGTTACGTCTGAAATAGCTATAACAATTAATGTACACAACTGTTTTCATAACACGGTTTAAACATATTTAAATAATTTATCATATGAATGCTTATGTTGATGGAGATACATTGAATGAATATGCACAGTTTGTGAGACCGCATAAATAACTACAATGAGTCAACAAATAATTTATCGTAATGTTTTATAGAAACAAATAAGAATTCTTTCAAAAGATTCTGAATCATTGACATTGAACTTTTAAAAATGCAAGCACTTGATGCAATGTAAGTCAAAAAAATTTCAGCATTATAAAATATCTGCTTTATGACATACGTTCCTTACCTACTGATATTTTTTCAAGATATTCTTTTCTTAAGATTTTAGTGTCATCAGATTTTCATAGACAAAAAATCAGTCTGCATTACCAAGGTTTTTTGAAAGACATCAATTGATAACAATTCTTGGATTATTCAAAAGAAAAATAAATATAAATTATAAAACTTATTTGTAGATGTTTTTTTTAAATCCAAACTTGCTTGGAAGAAGTATATTGATTGTTTGTATACTAGTATTGATTAACGTCCATTTCGAGAATGTTTCACTTATACGAGGGTTGTCCCGTAAAATCGTGGACAAGTTGTCTAGTGTAAAAAATAAACATCACTGCGTTCTGAAATTTTCACTATTATTTAGTACATATTTTAGTAATATACACAGCAAATTTCAGATAAATATATGCATAAATAAACAAATTATGTGATTTTATGCCATGTATTGTATCCCCTTACAGCGCATGGATTATAACGTCAAAGTGTCTAAAATAGCGTCACGTTTTATCTTAATATATATGGCACGCCAAATTCACAAAAATGAGATAAACCTTGTTTCACATTTGATAAACTAGGTTTATCGACTGTAAACTATAGTTTACAAACCGTAAACTATAGTTAACGATTCGTTAAGTATAGTTTTCATCTGTAAAACTATATTTAACGGTTGTTAACTATAGTTTACGAATGATAATCAAAGTTTATCTGTCTGTAATAAGCGTTAACAATAGATTTTGTTGATAAACATAGATTCACGTTTGTAAACTATAGTTTACAATCGTAAACTATAGTTAAGAGTTGTTAATCATTGTTTCACAAATCGTGAAACTATATTTATCAGATCGTTTACTATAGTTAACGGTTTGTAAACTATAGTTTACAAATCGTGAAACTGTATTTATCAGATAATCTATGTTTTGCAATCGCAAATGATTGTTTTCGGTGTTAAGTATACATGTAGTTTACGGTTGTGAAACATAGATTATCGCGTTAACTATGGTTTATTTACAGATGTAAAATATAGATTAACGTCGTTAACTATAGTTTACAGTCCGTAAACTATAGTTTACAAACGATAAACCTAGTTTATCGATTGTGAAACTATGTTTAACTCATTTTTGTGAATTTGGCGTGCCATATATATATATGTAGAGTTGAACGCCACAGCAAGTGTTTTCTCCTTGAACGAATTCTACTTCATATGAACACAAACATATGTCAGCTAATAACTGGGCGCAATTGGTACTATGGAAATTCAAATTGATTGTTAAAAGATCTGGTTTCAAATAAAAAAAAAAAACAAAAAAAAAAAAAAAACAAAACAAACTAGATGCTGTCATGAGACAGTAATACCCGCACTAAGGTGTTTGCCTCTAAAACACGCTCCTACATATTGGCCGGCTTTCCAAGGAAAAAGTCAAAATAATCCTATAATTTACATAGGCGTCGGAACCGGGGGGGGGGGCTAGGGCCGGGGCTTTTTTTCCAAACATATACTTAGTATAGATATTGAACATTGCTTCATAGGTTTAGCCCCCCCCCCCCACTTTCCACAGACACATGGCAGTATAGGTAAAAAATGGGAAAAAGGTAGTGTATGGAAAAAAAATTTTTGGTACTGAAATTCGAATTCAACCCCCCCCCCCCCCCCCCCCCGAAATTTGTTTTTCGTTTTTGGGAAATTGATGTTTTTTTTTTTTTTTTTTTTTTTTTTTTTTTTGCTTGTCAGGTTTTTTTTAGACGGTATAAAAATTTTTTTTTACACCTAGCCCCCCCCACTTTGAGTTTGCTTCCGACACCAATGATTTACATGTATTCATCAAACTGAGTATGAAATTCTCAGACCGGCCCTGTGACCTATAACTCAGAACCTCTTATATTTATTTTACATGCTTAATTCATTATATACCAGTTTGAATTCTATTAATGATGTAAATTAGATTTTGATAAATGTTTTGCTCATAATAGGACCTTTTTAAATTTATTAATCCCCCCCGTCGACACCACAATCACACAGCACATACTGTTTGGAATAGGCTAGATGGAAAAGTTTTGTTAAAACATCGTTTGTTATGAATTAATTTAAAATTTGTTCTTGTACTATACATGTTAACATGTAAATTTCTACATCACATCACGTTGCGTCACCCATTATCATATTTTTAGATTAAACACCATTTGGCACACCTCGGCCGATTCCCACTTCATCTGATAAGGTGACGGAATCGACGAAGGTTTGTCGAATGGAATTAGCACATGGCTGCAGTCTGGTGTGCATTGGATTAATTCATTTTGTGTTATAATTGGATTTATATTTCATGAAGTTGACGAGACAAACGTATGGCAGTCGGTAAGTACAAGTTTAAGTATAGTGGGGAGTAAAATAAACCCAAACGATTAGGTTAAAGTTCAAAAAGGGTCAAAGATCATCGCATGCCACACTAGACGAATTTCATATTGTGAAGTTATCTGCCATTGTCGATGTGACATTCAGTTACTGCCAATACTGGTGCGGATCCAGAATTTTTTTCGGGAGTAGGGAGAGGGGTTCACATCTCAGTCAAAAAATTTCCAGCCCAGAATTTCCTGACAAGCAGGAGAAAAAAAAACTGAAAACAAATAAATAAAATAAAAACAATGATAGTGTGGTCAATGTTTTCTCAGTTAGGGGGAGGATGTCCAAAGTCATTTTTTATTTGCTTCAGTATATAGTCTTGTTTAAATAACAAAGCAAATTCCAGGGGGGGGGGATGGGGGGATTCCAATCTCCCTACCCACTCCCTGTCCCTGAAATAACAATCTATTTTGTAATTCCAATTAAATAGTATATTTTTTTCCATTTGACTAATTATACATATTTTGTTTCTTGTGTTTATATTATGTCTGTCTATTTGTCTGCAGAAATTATAACCTTGCCCATAAGTTTTAAGTGGGATGGGCTATACAAATGGCTTCTACATTTTATAGGTTTATTTCTTGTGACAATTAAGACCTTTTATTTGGGTACCATTAATTTTTACCTGAAATTGCTTGACCTAGGATACACATTTTTACAAGAAAAATACCAAACTTTAAACTTGGCCTAAATTTTGATCAATAGGTGCTAGGGCTTTCATGCTTAACATGTGTATTCATTGTGAACTGTCAACAGGTATAAATATGTTTGACCTTGACCCTAGAGTTTGAACCACTTAAAAAAAATTAACCTTGGCAATTAACTTTTGAACAGGAATTACTAGGGATTTCTTTATTTCACATGTGCATTCCTTGTGACAAGACTTTCTTCTGATACTAACAATTTGAACCCTTTGACCTTGAACTTTGAGTTTGACATATATTTGAGAAACTTCAACCTTCGCCATAGGCTTCCATACAGGGACATCAGTGTTTCACAAACACATCTTGTCTTCATTATTATTTGGTGGTGTCTCCATATGAGGGAAAAATTCCCAAGAGAGATGTATTCACAACAAACAAACAAATTACTAAAGAAAATATAAAACATGAATATGTTGGTCATGCATATCTCTGCATGAAAAAAACAGCTTTTCAAATACTGCAACCATATTCTAACCCTTTCAAAACACTCATTTGAGCTTTTCTGGTTTCCTTAACATATAACGTCTGTCGTGACGTGTCGTCCATCTGTTTGTCTGAAAACTTTTTACATTTTTAACTTCTCTAGAACCACTGGGCCAATTTTACCCAATTCATATAGAAATATGTATATTTGTATGTCAGATTGTCCATCTGTCTCAATAAATTTAACCTTGGTCATCACGGTCATATCTACTGAATATTAAACTTATGTATTAGTATTTACCTGTGAGAATAGCATGGTTTTTTATGCGCCCGGATCGATAGATCCCGGGCGTATATTGTTTTTGTCCTGTCTGTTTGTCTTTTTGTCTGTTTGTCTGTTTATCTGTTTGTCTGTCTGTTTGTTGTCAACTTTAACCTTGGCCATAACTTTTGAACAATAAGAGATGGAGACTTCATATTTGGTATGCATACTCCAGTAATAAAGTCCTTTCAAATGACATCAAGGTCAATGACCTTGTGACCTTGACTGTGACCTATATGCTAAAAATAGCTTTTTCCACTGTTTGTCATAACTTTTTAACCATAGGAGATAGGGACTTCATATTTGGTATGCATACTCCACTAATAGAATTCTTTCAAATGACATCAAGGTCAATGATCTTGTGACCTTGACTGTGACCTATATGCTAAAAATAGCTTTTTACACTTTTTGCCATAACTTTTTAACCATAGGAGATAGGAACTTCATATTTGGTATGCATACTCCATCGATAAAGTCCTTTCAAACGACGGCAGGGTCAATGATCTTGTGATCTTGACTGTGACCTATATGCTAAAAATAGCTCTTTACACTTTTTGCCATAACTTTTGAACCATAGGAGATAGGGACTTCATATTTAGTATGCATACTCCACTGATTAAGTTCTTTCGAATGAGACCATGGTCAATGACCTTGTGACCTTGACTGTGATCAATATGCTAAAAATAGATTTTTTGAACTTTGTTGCCGCCGGGCGCATAGTGTTTCACAAACACATCTTGTTTTTTTTACCTGTGACCTAGAAGTTTGACCTACTTGCAAAAAAATTAAATTGTTATAAATTCATCATTTTGAAAGAGAAAAGTTAGGGCATTCATATCATAATGCATGTATATTATTACCTGTGATAAGACCTTTCCAAATAAATCATGACTTTTACTCTGTGACCTTGACCTTGAAGAGGTCAAGCCTCTACTTTTCAAAAATGTTGCATTTGCTTATAACTTCTGATTGAGATGAGATATGACTCTCACATTTGACATATACATTAATTACTCATAAGAATTCAAGGTGTTTCCCAGCATGTGATGCTTTTTTTACCCCTTGACGTTGATGTTTTACATAATTTTCAAAATATTTAACTCTCCTAAAAGATGATTAGGCTTCTGAGTAACATTAAGGAAGACTTCAGGGAAGACAGGGCTTTTTGCACAAAAAACGTCATTTTTCGACCCATATTTGACCCCCCAGGGCAAAATCTTAATTCCAAAACCTTACTGCACATCTACCTGACACCACCAACCATCTCCCAACAGATGATTAGGCTACTGTGTAAAATGTAGAAGAAGTTCAGGGAAGACGCGGCTTTTTGCATAAAAAATGTCATTTTTTGACCCCCATTTGACCCCCCAGGGCAAAATCAAAATTCCGAAACCTTACTGCACATCTACATGACACCACCAACCATCTCTCAAAAGATGAATAGGCTGCTGAGTAAAATGTAAGAGGAGTTTAGGGAAAACGGGGCTTTTTGTAAAAAAACCGTTATTTTTCCACCCCAATTTGACCCCCCGGGGCAAAATCTAAATTCAGAAACCTTACTGCACATCTACATGACACCACCAACCATCTCCCAAAAGATGATTAGGCTACTGTGTAAAATGTAGAAGGAGTTCAGGGAAGACGGGGCTTTTTGCATAAAAAACATCATTTTTCGACCCCCATTTGACCCCCCGGGGCAAAATCAAAATTCCGAATCCTTACTGCACATCTACATGACACCACCAATCATCCCCCAAAAGGTGATTAGGCTGCTGAGTAAAATGTAGAAGGAGTTCAGGGAAGACGGGACTTTTTGCACAAAAAACGTCATTTTTTGACCCCCATTTGACCCCCCGGGGCAAAATCTAAATTCAGAAACCTTACTGCATATCTACATGACACCACCAACCATCTCCCAAAAGATGATTAGGCTACTGTGTAAAATGTAGAAGGAGTTCAGGGAAGACGGGGCTTTTTGCATAAAAAAACATCATTTTTCTACCTCCATTTGACCCCCTGGGGCAAAATCAAAATTCCGAAACCTTACTGCACATCTACGTGACAACACCAATCATCCCCCAAAAAATGATAAGGCTGCTGAGTAAAATGTAAGAGAAGTTCAGAGAAGACGGGGCTTTTAGCATAAAAAACGTCATTTTTCGACCCCCATTTGACCCCCCAGGGCAAAATCAAAATTCCGAAACCTTACTGCACATCTACATGACCCCACCAACCATCTCCCAAAAGATGATTAGGCTACTGTGTAAAATGTAGAAGAAGTTCAGGGAAGACGGGGCTTTTTGCATAAAAAACATCATTTTTCGACCCCCATTTGACCCCCCGGGGCAAAATCAAAATTCCGAAACCTTACTGCACATCTACGTGACACCACCAATCATCCCCCAAAAGATGATAAGGCTGCTGAGTAAAATGTAAGAGAAGTTCAGGGAAGATGGGGCTTTTTGCATAAAAAATGTCATTTTTCGACCCCTATTTGACCCCCTGGGGCAAAATCAAAATTCCGAAACCTTACTGTACATCTACATGACACCACCAATCATCCCCCAAAAGGTGATTAGGCTGCTGAGTAAAATGTAGAAGGAGTTCAGGGAAGACGGGAATTTTTGCACAAAAAACGTCATTTTTCGACCCCCATTTGACCCCCCGGGGCAAAATCAAAATTCCGAAACCTTACTGCACATCTACATAACCCCACCAACCATCTCCCAAAAGATGATTAAGCTACTGTGTAAAATGTAGGAGGAGTTCAGGGAAGAAAAGTGTGACAGACGGACGGACGGACGGATACCAACGATACCAACAAAGAAATTTTGCAAATGACTTATGGCAAGGTATGTAAATTAACAAGTTCTATTTCTGTTGAAAAAGCAGCTGTTTATGATTTTGTAGAGCTGGACGTTAATGGGAATAGCTGTATATAAGGTTGGTTAAAAAGTCGTAAGTTTTGATGTTGATTTTGGTAAAATTTTATGAGTTTAAATAATCCAAAAGTTCCTTGGAATTTTTTAGTATCCACAATGATCAATGATTTTTCTGTACCTAACCTTGATTCTCTGACAACTTTTAAATTTATGTTCGCCATAGTGCATGTAATAAAATGTTAAGTACCGCCAAAGTAAGATATAAGCAACACAGTAAATTATACTAGTCGATCATGAACATGTTTGTAAATTAAACACTTTAATATGTTCTGTTTTATATATGCTTTTTTGACAGACTTTTTACATACTTATTTCTGTTTAATCGATTATGACAAGGAGACGTGACGGGTAGGCAGGTGGTGCCTCTTCTCAGAAATCTGTGATTGATTTGAATACAATTTGTAATGTTTTAGAGGACTTAAAAGCTTAATTTATTTTACTTATCTTCACATCTGATTTCTTTTAAACATGCATCAGAATTCGTACCAATTACATATCTACATATCTCAAGAAAATTGCGTGACTGAGTTTGAATTTAAAAGAAATTGCTTATACCTGATTTTATTGCACACTTTGTTTTAGACTTAAAGGATTTCCATATTCTAGTCAAAGAACGTTAACTTGATTTCCATCACTAGCCTGCAATCAAGCCTGCGATGATGTACTTTTTCTACACTTTTTTCTCAATCTAATCAAAAATATAAAAATCGCCTTACTCATAGATTTATCAACACTTAAATACCAGGAAGTTGATATCGAAAAATAAGCGCTACATTTATAATATATACCATACCATCAGCAGCAACATTGACTTAAGCATCAATTTCATGTTATCCGATCGTTTCTTAATCTTGTATACATTAACTTTGCATAACAACACCATAATTTTCTTATAAAAATATTTAATGCTTTTATTTCTCTTCAACACTGTCCATTGCAAATATGTTACTTTTTAAATTCTTCTGTCTCATTTCAACGTGGACTTCATAAGCTTTAGAAATTCTGAAAGGCATTTCTTGCTTTAACTCTTTGCCCCTTGCGCTGTCTGTGACGTAATAGTAGCATTACATTTGTTACTCTTTGATGACATCCTTTCCCCGCAGCGCACTTGCGATTAGGTGATGAAAAGACGTGTTTTTGAAGATATTTACACGGTGTAAGTAGCAACTGTTGCCGTATATATCGCCCTAATATTTATGCAATCATCTGGAAAATGAATTTAAGTATTTTGATGATAATTAGTCCTTTTTAATTTGTTTAAATAATTCTTTTATGTGGACTTTTACAAACTTTACGTGGACTTTTACAAACTTGATATATTGAAATCATAGAATATGACAAAATTCTTCCTTGAATATTGTTCATTATTTTAGCTTTTGATATTGCGATATTCATTCCATCTTTTTAACTATGTTATAAGGTCATTCAAAGCTTTGTCTTGATTTCTGATTTTTTCAGTATCTTTATTTTCTTGTATTTTCTTTTCTTCTTTCACTTTTTTACTACTTTTTTGTTAATTCCTCGTTCAATTTCCCCTCGTTCTTTCATTAGTACTATTGAATACTAGTAGTTCTTACAAAACACTAAAATAAGATTTGAATGCAACTGACTTATAGGTTCTCTGTTATTTTAAATCAACTATCTTTGAATAAAATTCCTTGTCGTTTGATTTGTAGGTGGGTTCACTTAAGGGTGGAGGGGAGAATTTATTTTGTGATTTAGTAGAGTTTGCATATATAGTTACATCAGAAAAAGGCATCTTATCGCAGGCATTTATGTAATAAATCTATCAATTTCGCACAAATGGTATACCCGACAAGTAACCATAAACCTGCAACAAATCTGACATTGATTTATTGATACAATATAATTTTTTTCACTGAGCAATTTAATATTTTTCCTAAATCGATCTTTCTAACTCCTAAACAATGGAGAGTTGGATATGGATATTTCTAACAGTAGTACAAATATTAAACATTATTTCATACGTACAGTAAGTATCTATAGTATAACTTTCGCTTAATTCTTGAATATCACAAAGCTTCGTATTTTTTTTTTTACATATTAGTAAAATTATATAGTGATGTATGGGTCTGTAATATTGCCTTTTTTGAAAAAAAAAGACTTGGCTTCATTGCATACAAAATTGCCTTGGTTTAAAAAGAAAAAAAATCGAAGGTGTATTCGTTTTTGTTTAATGTAGTAAAAACCTTTTCTAAGATGTTAATGTTGTTTATAAAAGTACAATGGATAAGTTTTACCGCATGCGTTTTAACTAACCATTCAAATGTTAAAAGAAATGTGATTTAAAGAGAAAAAAGGAATTGACTCATACGGATGGCTGCAAGCTATGAAAAACTTTCAACATTATAGAAAACGCACAATTTAATTTTTTTTCACATTTTAGGAATGGTTAACTTAAATCAGATGGATTTTCTAAAATTCATGAATTCATTTCTTTTTGTTTCAAACCACGAACCAGTTAAATGTAGGTAATGATTTTTCCAAACAAAATATTAACAATTTATATAAATTAGCCCTTTTACCGACAAAATTAATCTGTGCTATAGAATCTGTAGACATGTATTCTAATAAAATCACAAGTAAAACATTCAGAACAATGTTTTTTGAATTTATTGATTTGATCACATCTCTGAAATATATGCAAATATTTTTAAGTATAAAAATAATCATTGAAAAACAGGTGGAAAATCCTATTCCCCTAATATTGATATAAATTTTTTTATTTTCTGGAGATTTTTCCTGCATGCTGATTTTAAAATTCATCCGAGTTGAAGGCTCAACTGAGCATTTGTCTGTTGTCTTTCGTTGTCGTTCTTGTTGTCGTCATTTTTGTAAACGTTGTTTCACCAGAACCACTCGTCTAATTTGAACCAAACTTGGCAAATGAAGTATTCAGATTATTTTTAAGGTACATATCCATGTACATTGTATTATGTTTTTATTTCAATCTCGTTGTTCTGTGTTGAATTAACAATATCCAAGTACTTTTTATTTTAAAATTGAAACGATAACGATGTTTTAATAACAAATGATAATTATGTATTTTTTTAATATAATGTTTCAAAATATATTTCAATTTGATTATTCTATATACTTGTTGTAAAGAAAACATAATGTAAACTACATTATATATTTAATTTCGATTATTCAATTTGTGTGATTTTATGTCAAATTTTATAAGTCATAATTGCTTTTATATAGAAAAAACTATTAATTTCAGACCATGTTTCACTGAGGTGCAAGTTGTGCATTACAACACAGAAAGATATTGTGCCTCATGGTTTTTCTTCGTGTGGTAAGCATTTCCTTATATCGTTTATATATACATATACTCTTCTCGTTAATTGTTTTAAAAACTATTTACTGTTAAACATATGTTTGAAAAATATTTAAGTATGCATATAAATGTTATCATAAGTTTTAACAATGCATAAATAAATTGTCTTTGAAAGAAAATCGATGAATTGCTTTTGAAAGAAAATTCTCACCAAACATAATTTAATTATACATGTTATATTACTTTTCCCCCGATATTTTTTACCTAAAATTTCGAAAATGAAATTTTAACACCAGAATCACGTTTAATGTTTTTTTTATAAAGCTAATAAATAGTCCATAATAAAGAAAACCCTAAAACTGAGAGTGAAACTGAAACTGAAAGTTATAAGAAGGATAACTTTTATTGCGTAACAAAGAAATTAAACCTATAGATCTATTATTCTGTTGGTGATGTCTTAGATTTTAAATATGTAAAGCGGGAAGTCGAGTTTAAAACAAAAAGCACACCCGGTACTTAAAATTTGCAAGATTGGCGTCTCTCAGTCGCATAAAAACATAAGAAACCCGGTCATAAAAGGTGATTTACAAGTAAGCTGAACTTTCTTGGGAAGATTTCAATTTAATGAAACACTAAGAAAGAAAAGAGTTAATTTTTTATTCCCAGAGAATTAAAGAAATACTTTGGACTTAACAGTTTTTTTTTGCAAAAAATAAGATGCATATGTGAAATACTCATATCCCTGTATTGTAGCTTATGATGAGGGTTGAATTTGCAATCAAACTCTAAGTGAAGTTCGAAAGGTGCAAAATGTAGGATTTCAAAGAAATATCTTGTCAAAAGGAATGCACCTGTGAAATATGAAAGCCCTGGTACTAACTATTCAAAATTAATGGACACCCACGTTTACGATCATTTAATAATTAATTACTTAACACCCTTTTCTTCTTCTGCTGAAGATATTGTTATATATTGTTATCTCTTGCACCATGTTCCAGCTTAAGGGAAAACGGGTGGCAAATCGATCTGTTTCAATCCAATGAAATATTTGCCATCGAGTGATAATTATGCTAAATATTCAACTGAAACATAACTAAAAAAACTGGAAATTATGATAGACAATATCACAATATAACAAGAATTAAAGATGTGTTTGTGAAACACTGGTGGTCCGTAGGGCATGCAGTTAGTGGCTAAGATTGAAGTTCCTCAAATCCAAATCAAACTCCAAGGTCATAAAGTCAAATTGTTGCTATCAATTGAATGTTCTTTTCACGAGGTATATTCCTATTGAATATGAAAGCTATGGTCATAATTGTTCAAAATGTATGCTCAAGGTTAAAGTTTTTTAAGTAGGTCAACATCAAAAGGTCAACTGTTTATACTTCTTAAAAGGTCTTGTCACAGAGTATACATATGACAGCTTTTGAACCGATCGTTCATAAGTTATTGCTAAGGCTACAGTTTGATTTTTTCTGTAAAAGTTGGTCAACCTCGAAGGTGAAGGTCAAGAGGTTAGGTTAAACTAGTACCCAAAGAAAAGTCTTGTCACAGGAAATACAGTTAATACACCTCTGAAATATGAAAGCCATAGTCCCATGCACCCAGTCAAAAGTTATGCACAAAGTTAAAGATTTTGCGGATAGACAAACAGATAAACAGGCAAACACACAGCTAGAAAGACGGACAGACAGGACAAAAACTTTATAATCTCGAATCTTCGGTTACGGTGTAATGAAAATATAATTGGACACTTTCATTACCCACCTTTCACTTTCATTGAAACATAGCAAAGGGGATATTACTCGGAAACTAAATGACTAACTACGGAAACTATACATGTATACATGGATAAATAAATTTGACTTTACTTAATTATCGAGGTGAATGATGACATCAATATAATTTAACAAGGAAAAGCTTATATAACGACGCTTATTTTAATTTTGATGTATAAAACAGCAATTAATTCATTTGTTTTTGGTATATGATCAAGTGCTTCAAGTATGTAGGCCTTATGGTTTTAGAGGGGTCAAATGATGGTTGGGAAATCGATATATTTTGTAAAAAACAAAATATTCTCAAAATTCGTTATGCTCTACGTATGAACAATTTTTAAAACGAGGTAAAATATTAATAAACAAGTTGATGAAACAAGAATATCTACAGTCTCATTTAAATTTATATTTCGTAAATTTTATAGTCACTACAATGAACTTGTCAGCAAATACAATTTATCATGGAGACAGATGCTGACTGAGGTTTTTCATACTTTTTGTTTGTCCATTATCTATACACTGAATTGACGACGGATTTTTCCGTTATTTCCCGATCATGACAAGGAACACACGGCGGTTGTGACCGCTCAGCAGGGGATGCTCACCCATCCATGACACCAGATCCCACCTCTGATTTTTAGGAGCTCCGTGTTTGCTCTTCTCTTATTTTGTATTGTTTTATGGACTTTGAGACTGAATAATGTTCGTTGTCTCTTTATCCTTCTTTATCCATTTTATCCAGTAGCCACACACCTTTTGGAAAGTAATTAGTGATGTATTGCATGTATATGTGCAATAATGTTTCTGAAACAAACTTTTTTTCATTTAACATTTCTGGTAAATAACAAAACCTTTCTCATTTAATATTTCTGGTAAATAACAAAACCTTTCTTTTCTTGCATCGACGCTTAAGTTTTAGCTGTTGCAGAATAAAAAAAAAAAACATAATGCGTAAGCGGGTTATTTTTTTTGGCAAAAACGATAATCAATGAATTCAGTGAATGTTCTACAATTGAAAAATAAATCAGTTATTGAATTGAGGAATAACTGTCTAGTTTTTTTTTTATTTTACGATGTGATCCAATCGAGTGGCTTGCATGAACGCCAATCACTTTATCATCGTCATGAAATAAAAAAAATCTGACAGTTATTCCTTATATTTACATTCTCTTGATTCCTTTAATGCACGAGCTACAAGCCCTGCTTCTGTCTCTATTTCTCCCGCCCTGCACGTAATTTTTTTCCCTACCGATGAACCAGTACATTGATGAGGAAACAAAGCACAATAACTATATTTGTAAATTTATCTCGGAAAAAGACATTGGAAATGTAATGCATGTAAATGTTTGTTTATTTTTTTTTTTAATTTTTTTTTTACTTGTTTCTTGTTTATGTCTTCAAATTTTCATATAAAATCGTTTATTCGATGTTAACATAAATGGAAAGTCAGTAAAATAACTGATGCGTGCCTATACAGATGCACTGTTATCTGATTGATAAAAGAAGTACGAACACCGATATCTTGAATACCATGGATATTACGAAGTTATTTGGAAGTCCTAACCACTTTTTCTTTTACTCTTGTCCTTTTCCTCAGCGAAAGCAAAATATAATTTTCATACCATGTTTGTATATTTTTACTTTCAGCTTAAAGTATCGATATCGAACACGTGCCTATTACAGCCTTGAGAAACGTTGTTGTCATGGTTACACTGGAAATCTCTGCACCACTCGTATGTAATTTTAAATGAAATGATTCTTGTGTCTAAAAAGATAAAGTAAGGCAAGGAATATAGACAAATTACAAGAAGATGGAATGAGATGATAGTAACTTAGAATGCTTGAGAATTATAACATTATCAAATACTTTTAATAAAGTTTCATTCAATTTAATTCATTGTTCATTTAAACGGCAAGCAGAGTAAAGGTATTAAATACCAGCGAATTTTACCTAAACTGGTCATTCTATTGGCATCAATTTTCGTCTTTACACTGGATCAATATAATGATTTAAAGAAAATGATATTTATTTTTCAAATTTACTTGAAAACAGAAATGAACCTGTACATTTTTTCAATATAAAAAAAATTATTGAAAAATATATTTGATTTAAAAAAAAGTAAAACAGTCTAATAATAGTGTGTTGTTTTCTAATTTGCCTGTATTTCTTCCCCTAGCAATTTGCAGCTGCCAAAATGGGGGTACATGTGTAGCCCCAAATATTTGTAGATGCTCATCAGAATATGAAGGGAACTCTTGTCAAACACGTAAGATCTACAACTTCGTAATCACGCCTTCCATTGTACCGCTAACGCTATTCGCTATATATAAAAGGAATGGTTTAATATCATTTTTCCATTTATATTCATATATTTTTTTTTTATCTTTTTTCCAGCAAGATGTTATCCTTCATGTCATCATGGACACTGTGTCAGCCCAAATAGATGTAGCTGTAACACGGGGTATACAGGATCTACTTGCTCTCAACGTAAGTTCGTGCAAACGTCTAATTGCTAATAAACATTTATCCCAGATAAATGAAGACTTTACATTATACTGTGCTTAAAACTACGTTCTTTAATAGATTTATAGTTGGGACATTTTATCTGCATTATGAATTATAAAAAATATAGATCTTAAAACAAGCAAATAGAATAAGATTTTAACAAATATGTTATAATTTTTTTCTCCATATGCAAAATTCTTACTCAACCAGCACAATATTGACTTTTTTTCACAAAAAATAAAGGAGAGCAAGAGTTTTTTAGCATAACTTTTGTTTGCTTTTCAGTTATGTTATATATTTACAGCTGTGTGCAACCCACCGTGTCATTATGGCGGAGTTTGTATAGGTGTAAACAGTTGTCGGTGTCCATCAAATCAAGCTGGGCCTTACTGTAGACAGCGTAAGATGAGAATCTCTATATAATGTCATTATATACTAATGTTAATAAGTTTTTTTTTAAAATTACAATTAAGGCTGAAGTATTTCCAACACAATCATAAAAAGTTCCTTTATATGTATCGTACAAATATTTCTAAACCCTGATTAAAACACAACAGCTTAAAAACAAATTTTCAACTTTATACACAACCATTCCCAACGATAAATTAAAATCCAGGTTTTTTGATATCATTCACAGCTGCTTTTTCAATAAAAATAGAATTCGTAAATTAACTTATCTGGTTATTGGTCATTTGCAAAATTATTTTGTTAAAACACATTCTGATTGCACACACAAGTACTAAGAAGTGGACATGAAAGAGGTGCTTGAGTTTCTGATTGACAATATCTATGTGGTTTTTGGTTACCAGGTATTCCAACAATCTATTGGAATTCCAATGGGTACCAATTGTGCTCCGTTATTAGCGGCCTATTTTTATGTTCATATGAAGCAGAATTTGTGCAAAATCTTACGCGTGAAAAGACGAAAACACTTGCTGTGGCCTTCAACTCGTCATTTAAATATATCGACGACGTATTGTCAATTTAAAATGGTAATTTCCATTCCAACGTCGATACGATATATCCTGGTGAGCGTGAGATAAAAGACACAACAGATTACTAGAAAAGACGTTAATGGTAGAAGAACAACAAAGCTATATGATAAACGTGATGACTTTAACTTTTCTTTCGCCAACTTCCCTTACTGATGCAGCAATATACCTTCATCACCTGCATACGGAGTCTATATATCTTAGTTAATTCGATACGCAAGAGCATGCTCTACGAGGTAAATGAGGTAAATTATTGACAAGCAAGTTAATGAAATAAGAATATCAGCAGTCTCGTTTAAAGTCCGTTTTCGTAAGTTCCATGATCGATACAATGAACTTGTCAGCAAATACAATTTATCATTGAGTAAAATGCTGACTGATGTTTTTCATAGTAATTGTTTGTCCATTATTTTAACACTGAATTGACGACTGAATTTTCCGTTATTTCCTGATCATAAAAAGGAACACACGACGGGTTTGACTAGTCAGCAGGGAATGCTCACTCCTCCATGGCATCTGATCCCACCTCTGATGTGACGGAGGTCCATGTTTGCTCTTCTCCTATTTTGTATTTTTTTTTATGGACTTTGAGCTTAAATACTGTTCGTTATCTCCATATCCTTCTTACAATGATTTTTACTGAAGAAAATTACAGGTTTTTGTATTACTGAACGTAAACTATAAAGGTCTATAAACAAAAGAATTGTATGACAAACGACTTCAACCTTATCACTGTCAACTTTTACCTTCTTATAGACTTTATGTCTCCCATAATAATACCTTCCTCAAGATCTTGCCCTGTGGAAAATTAATTTTTAGCATGCTATCTAATAATAAGTTACAGGAATTTCAAAAAAACCTTGAGTTAATTAAGTCGGCATTTTATGAATTATTGTCATAATGACACTGTTAGGAAGTAAAACTTAATATATATATATATATAAAAAAATTACATAGACACCGTGACGCACAAAATTAAAGGAGAAAACTGACAAATATAGAATTTTAGCATGAACTGTGTTAATTTTGTTCAATTCATAAAAGTATAACTAGGTTTCGGTACCTAAATATTCTTTTTTGAGAAAAACAAAAGTAAAAATAATTTCAGTATACATGTATCCCATAACGAAAATACTTTTTCCTCCCTATTGTACACATTCACAGAAAAGTTGAATAAGTTTCAATAGTTACCATGGTCTCAAGTACCCAAGAATGAATGTAAGTAGACCAAACATTTTAATGCAATACATTTGTAATTTTAAATTGTTGTTAGAACATATTTCTCACCTTTGCATGCTCCAGTTGAATTTTGTTTACAAGTTTGAGCTAAAAATAAAGATGTCGTGACCTTGACATACACAAAAAGAACGAACGGTAGATACCTTTGTTTTTCCGGCACTTATATTGTGCAGTTTTTTTCTAGCAGTCTTTTGCAGCTATATACTCATAATTTTCATAAGTCTTTCTCTGTATGCTACCGATATCGTAAAAGAAACACATGATTTTGACTCATTGTGTTACTTTAAATGGCTTTGATATTTCACAGTGTATTCTTTGTGTCAAGGCCTCTCTTTTGGAACTACTAAATTTGACCTCTTGACCCTAGAATTTGGCTAACTTTTACAAAGAAAAATCAACCTTTAACCCCAAGGCAGTTGTGACCATTAACCATGGGAAATTTACTCCTTCTAGATACCCGATCCCACCTCTGTTTTTTTTCTTGGGGGGGGGGGGCAAAATTTGTATTGTTTGACGATTTTTATTTAGATTGATCGTTCTTCATTACTTTCATATTTTTTCGAACTTGCTTACGAGTCTTGAAAATTAGTCTAAAAAAAATTATGCATGTTCTACAACATAATTGTTTTCGACAAAAGCTGCGCTGAAAACAGAACATTCCCTGCCAACCGGTCGCACCCACCGTGTGCTCCTTGTCATGATTGGGAAATAACGGAAAAAAATCCGTCGACAATTCAGTGTGTAATAATAGTCTTACAATAAGTATGAAAAAAGTCAGTCAGCATTTGACTAAATGATAAATTGTATTTGCTGAGAAGTTCATTGTATCGATCATAGAACTTACAAAATGATGACTTTAAACGAGGCTGAGCTCTGATATTCTTGTTTCAGCAACTTGTTGGTCATTGATTTACCTCGTTTTAATTATTCGCACGTAAATCATGCTCGAATCAACTAAGAGATATAAACCTCGTATACAGGTGATGAAGGTATATTGCTGCACAAGTAAGGGAAGGTGACAATTGAAAAGTTATATATAAAAATTCAACTCTTTCGTCGTAATGCTTGGTTGTTAGATTACCATTAACGTCCTCTTCAAGTAAAACATCAAAAATATGAAACAGGTGACTGTGTCAGACTTTGTGGTATATTTTATTTCAAGCGAATCTGTATTTATCTTATCGACATAAGAATGGAAATAATATCTCGTAGATATATTTACTTGTCAAGTTGAAGGTCACAGCAAGTGGTTTCCCCTTACCCCATATAAGATTTTGGACAAATTCTGCTTCATATGAATACAAAAATAGGTCTGTTAATGACGGGGTGCCATTAGTACCCATGGGTTTTGCAGTATATTGTTGGAAGACCTGGTCTTCAAAAACAAAACAGATTTTGCCAGTCACATTATTTTCTTTTCTGATACTATAGCACTTTGTAATCCTGCTTGTTTAAACGGTGGATCGTGTACGTATGGACATACTTGCGATTGTTCTGGAACTCACTACACAGGGATTAAGTGTGAAACACGTAAGCAGCAATTGGTAATTAAAATAGCACTTGAAACATAAAGTACTACAGCAGAAAAAATATCACTGTTTAGAGCAAGATTTTTAGAAGAATATTTCAAATAGATTTCTGTTAATAAATTAATTGTGATACTGCTGTATAATGAGATTGATTTTTGTAGCTGTGTGTAATCCACCGTGCCAATCAGGGGGAACCTGTGTAAGCCCAAACACCTGCCAGTGTCCCTCAAGTCATGCCGGACCTCACTGTAATCAACGTAAGTAAATGTAAGATTAAGAATATGGAGATAATGAACAGTATTCAATATCAAAGTCTGGAAAACAATACAAAATATGAGCAGGGCAAACACGGACCTCTGAAACACCAGAGATGGAATCAGTTGCCATGGAGGATTGAGCATCAAATGCTGACCGGTGTCGCATAATATTTGGTCCGCCTCGTTTAAAGGTCCGGCCGGACCAAATACGATAACATATTTGGTCCGCCTTTTATAAGAAATGGTCCGGCCCGTATAAGGAATGGTCCGCCTACGTTTTTGGTCCGGGTTGTGAAAAAACGTTTTAATTTTGACTTAAACATATTCATGAAATTAAAGCGATTTTGTTTAAAATATATAATGAAAGAAGGGTTTACCCTGTTTTTTATGTTGTGTACAACATATCTCTAGGACAAGAATCTACTCCTCGTTCAGTTTGCTTTAAGCATTGCTGTTTATCTAATACCATGATTAAAAATAAAATAATGGCACAATTATTGTGCAAGTGTTTGTTTTTCTCTAGAATAAGCCTTGTGTAAATTAGTTCGATTAAAAGTGTGAAATCTGTCAGTGTGTATAGCTAATAAAACAATGGGGGTGTGACGTATTTGTTTACCTGACAGGTACCTGCAGGTAGAGCCCGCGGCAAATGGCGCTGTCATGGAATGGTTTGAGAACTTAATGGTCATAACTTACCTTGACATATCAATAAGTTTGGATTTTTTTAATTCATGAATAATGTCAAGGAAATATTCATGCGTACATTTCAAACCTGTGACATTTATAATAATCATAATTATATATTGTCTTTTTTGAATATTCAAAGCTAATTAAATGTGGCGTATCTGAGCTAAAAAATAAGAATACGAAATGAATGAGCGTATAGATTAACATGAGATTTGATATTTAAGTTCAAAATAAAATTTCAATTCGAATATGAACTTAAATATCCCCTTGTTTCTATACATGTAGTTAAATTGACTTTTAACTGTGTCTGATATTTAAATACCGAGTCGATAAAAATCGTTCATTGTTTTTAATCTCTGATATCTATGAAATGCGACTGTTTATCATTAAGATGTATAATTTTCATTATTCTGTCATTATTATTTATTTCATTATTCTTTTTCCGGATATTAAAAATTTCAATTTTTATTTCTAACATTTTCTAGCTTTCAGTTCCGACATTTTAAAGTTTTCATCTCCGACATTTTTCAGGAAGTGCTTTTCGGTAATTAAAACTTTTAAAGAATAAATTACACTCTGTATAGTATATTAAATGTCTTGGACGTAAGTTCGATGCAGTCTTTGACATTTAATTTAGTGAACACTAAATATGATGAAAAAATTACATGCTCTTTGAACTCTTTAAACTAGATTTAGTGCTACGTTACATATTCAATGGTATAAATACACAGATTTTGTAATACTGAGTATATTTTGTTAGTATCTTAAAAAAGTTGTGTGCAATATGATCTTTCAAAATTCCATTCATACATACTTGGTAAACATTAAATTGTCGGAGAGACACCTAGCAGAAATTCCGGAAATGAAAAGAAATAATAATGTCGGCCAAGAAAAGAGAATTTGTTGGAAATGAAATTTAAAAAATATAGGAAATGCTATTCCGATTCCGGAAATGAAATGCAACGGTCATATCATTATATAAAGTAAAAAAACAAACAGAAAGATCTTTTTAATAATAGTTTCTCTGAACTTATATAAAAAAAAACCCTTATATGACTTTACAGAAATTTCTCATCCAAGTGCCAAGTTTCATACCGATAGAGTACATGTAATTCTCTGGTTTACAGTAGTTAGTAGTCGTCACAAGTATACCTTTTTTCCCGTTTATAATCATATTTTGGTCGTTTATTTGTTGATTGTGTAAAATATAACCTAACCTTGAATTCGATCTTTATTTACATTTACTACATAACATAATACATGATTGTAATATTCCGGTCCGTTAAAGACTAAAGGAAGAAAACATAACTACAGTATACATCAGCATTAAAGTTTAATGGTTTTGATCTAATCCATTCTTGTACATAACGATATATGCACATAAACATGATAAATATATTTAAATGTTTTTGCCGAAAAAAAGAAATTATTACATTTTTCATTGTGACAGTTGCAGAATACAGGATGATCTAATGTTTTGCAATAACGATTATATTTTGAACTCTTTTTCAGTAACCATAACGATAAATTATTTTCTTTTATAACCGATCGGAATTCGATTTTTATATATGCTATAAATTGCGCACGTGCTGTTCCGGACATTGCCTAATACAACTTTTGGATAAAATAATAAGTAATAATTTTATAGAATACACTGTATATATATAATAATATAATTTTAAAAAAGATAATACAAGCACCTCGGGCGATGAAGTGAATGGGGGGGGTAACCCCCTTTTTTCTTTCCGTCTGCTCATTGCGTATCAAATACAAAGTAAATGAACACGAACAAGGCTGTAATAATGAGGGTAATGTTTGAATGAAGAAAGGGTCATGAAAGAAGTTGAACCTGACCCCACCTCTTTCTCTCTCTCCAAAATAGAATTTTTGAATTTGGACAATATTCCTTCCCCGTTTTTTTATTGTCAAGTTTTCTCAGATAAATTGATCCCCCTGTCACTGTCAAAGACATACATCAGATACATGTACGTTGTAACTTGACCCCACCCCCTTCTTATGTTCGTACCTTACCTACTGAGAGATTTTTGAGATATTCTTAATTTAAGATTATCGTGTCATCAGATGTTGACAGACAAAAAATCAGCATGCATTTCCAGGGGCTTTTGAAAAGATTCAATTGATAAAATTCTTGTAAAATTCCAAGAAAAATCTCTGTGCTTTGATTGTGTACAACAGCACAGATAAATTTCACAGCAAAACTTTTGGACGGTGTACATCTTTCATTAACAAAAAAGAAAATGGCAGGGCGGACCTTAAAATGCAGTTATCAGAAAAGGTCCGCCCTCTGTATATCAAATATTTTCCTATTGCACAGCAAAAATATGGACGGGGTACGTTTCTCTCTCTCTCTCTCTCTCTCTCTCTCTCTCTCTCTCTCTCTCTCTCTCTCTCTCTCTCTCTCACATTAACAAGGAGAAAATGGCAGGGCGGACCTTAAAACGCAGTTATCAGAAAAGGTCCGCCCTCTCTTTTTTCTGATATCTTCATGTTTCAAAAAGGGATTTTTTTTATATGGTTCTCTACTGTAGCATAAATGATTGCAAAAAAAAAAACAAAACGCAGTTATCAGAAAAGATCTGCCCTCTGTTTTTTCCGGATATCCTCATGTTTAAAAAAGGAATTTTTAAATATGCTTCTTTACAGATGAAAAAATTAAAAGGGAAGAGGGGGACCTTAAATCACAGTAATCAGATAAGGTCCGCCTCTATATTTAGTTATTTTCCTATTGCACAGCAAAAGTATTAACGGGGTACATGTACATCTCTCCCTTATTTACAAAAGATAGGGAAATTTTTGGACAGGTTAATTTTCGTAGCTTAAAAACAAGAGAAAGGGACAGGGCGGACCTTAAAACGCAGTTATCTGAAAAGGTCCGCCCTTAGATTTCAGATACATGTGTATTTTTATGTTATAAAGGGAAATTTTTGGACAGGTTTATTTTCGTAGCTTAAAAAATTAGAGAAAGAGACAGGGCGGACCTTAAAACGCAGTTATCAGAAAAGGTCCGCCCTCTGTATTTCACATATCTTTATGTCATAAAGGGAAATTTTTGGACAGGATTTATTTTCGTAGTTTAAAAAACTGAAGAAAGGGATAGGGCGGACCTTAAAACGCAGTTATCAGAAATGGTCCGCCCTGTATTTTTAGATATTTTTATGTTATAAAGGGAAATTTTTGGACAGAATTTATTTTCGTAGCTTAAAAACAAGAGAAAGGGACAGGGCGGACCTTAAAACGCAGTTATCAGAAAAGGTCCGCCCTCTGTATTTCAGATATTTTTATGTTATATAGGGAAATTTTTGGACACGTTTATTTTCGTAGCTTAAAAAATTAGAGAAAGAGACAGGGCGGACCTTAAAACGCAGTTATCAGAAAAGGACCGCCCTCTGTATTTCAGATATATTCAGGTCATAAAGAGAAATGTATGGACAGGTTTATTTTCGTAGCTCGAAAACTAGAAAAATAGACAGGGCGGACCTTAAAACGCAGTTATCAGAAAAGGACCGCTCTCTGTATTTCAGATATTTTTACTTTATATAGGGAAATTTTTGGACAGGATTTATTTTCGTAGCTTAAAAACAAGAGAAAAGGACAGGGCGGACCTTAAAACGCAGTTATCAGAAAAGGTCCGCCCTCTATTTTTTCTGATATCTTCATGTTTCAAAAAGGGAGTTTTTTTATATAATTCTTTACGGTAGCATAAATAATTGCAAAAAACGCAGTTATCAGAAAAGATCTGCCCTCTGTATTTCAGATATTTTTATGTTATAAAGGGAAATATTTGGACATGTTTATTTTCGTAGCTTAAAAAATTAGAGAAAGAGACAGGGCGGACCTTAAAACGCAGTTTTCAAAAAAGGTCCGCCCTCTGTATTTCAGATATCTTCATGTTTTATAGAGAAATTTTTGTCAGTTTTTTTTTTCGTAGCTTAAAAAATTAGAGAAAGAGACAGGGCGGACCTTAAAACGCAGTTATCAAAAAAGGTCCGCCCTCTGTATTTCAAATATCTTCATGTTTTATAGGGAAAATTTTGTCAGTATTTATTTTTGTAGCTTAAAAAACTAAAGAAAGAGACAGGGCGGACCTTAAAATTCAGTTATCAGAAAAGGTCTGCTCTCTGTATTTCAGATATCTTCATGTTTTATAGGGAAATTATTGTCAGTATTTATTTTCGTAGCTTAAAAAACTAAAGAAATAGACAGGGCGGACCTTAAAACGCAGTTATCAGAAAAGGTCCGCCCTCTGTATTTCAGATATCTTTATGTTTAATAGGAACATTTTTGGAAAGTGT